CGAAGCCCGGCCATTAAAAGTTACAATCCAAATCCAATTTGCACCGCGTGCGCACGAGGAAAACCGATTTTTCTCCAAGCGCAATTTAATCTTTATATCTTAGCATTCGGTGCGAAAAGCTTTTGTGCGCGCGCTTGGGTTTCAAGTCATAAATATAAAGTAAAAGGACGAAAAACGCAAAAGCTCGCTTCATAAATTCGCATTAAAGCAGATAAGGTCCTTTCTCTTGGACGAGCATCCCCTGTTTTCCTCTGTTCAAACTCTTTTCCACGCGCGCAAACGACACGTCGTTTCAAAACCTCCTGAAACTTCCCACTTCTCATTCCAATGGCTACAACCCGCTCCCGGGCGGATGGCAGAGAGAAAGACATGGTTGCCAGTGGGTGGACGATGAGAAATGAGTCGTGAGTTGCCGACTGGAGCGCCTGCAAGTCGGAAAAGGCAGCGGGCGACGAATACGAAATGAAAAACGAACAACGCAACTTTGGCGCTCGCACAAACCGTACGTCTCTACGTTTGTATATTTGTGTGTGTGTGTAAGTAAGGGTGTGGTACACGCGTGGGTGGTGGGCGGGCGGCACAGAGGAAAAACTTTAATTTCGCTCTGCGAAGCTTGTAAAATATTGCTTTAATCTCTGCCGGAGGAACGTGAAAAATAACACGTCTCCTCGCCTTAGCTGAATTTAAATTACTTGCATAATCCGCCTAAAAGATGAATAAAAATCCCCCGAGAGGACGGAGCGAGGCAGTGCGCAGCGAAAAAAACGAACGCAGGGTGGAGGAGCCGGGCTGGACGGACGTTAGCCCGCATAAAACAGATTAATGTGCGAAGCGCGCGCGCTGCAAAACTCGCTTTCATGCCATACTTTTCTTGCTCTTCTCGGGCGTGCATGTGTGCCTTAGAGAAAATAAAATAGACGTTTTTATTATTGTCACGCCGGCGGCAATATTTCTTTTCACTTTGGTGGAAAATTCATGAAAATGTGAACAATGTCAGATTGCTACATCATCATAATCATAATAAGCAATATTTTTGTAAAACAAAATATTTTACACAAAATTTAAAAAAGTGTGCATTTTACGCACTAGTGCATAAAATGAGTTTTTTGCTATTGCTTGAAGAAAAACCGTTTGGCACGTGTAGAAAATGATGACACACATTAATTAATTCATGATAAACTCATTCATACACGATTTGTAGGTGTTTGACCTACACACATTAACACGTTAACACACACACACATACAGAGACGTAGTGCCAGTTCACATATGGCATCGTTTTGGCGCCGATTACCATATCATTCATCGATGGTGCCGATGCATCGTGGCCGTGTTCGGCTGATCGTTTGGCGTGTCCCCAACGCCGATTCATTGAAATTTATAATATGATAATTCGAATCGATCTCAATATCGTCTCGTCATTGTTGTGCCCAGCGCATTGCGCTCATTTTAATAAATTATTTATTAAACAAAAATTTGCTGCACTTGAAAAAGATTTTTTCGGTGAAATTCAGTCGTTAAATGAAATTTTTATCACTAAAACCTTCTAATTTGAATGTTTAAATGAGTTACTTTAAACACAAGTGTGAAAAAGTCATTTTAAACACGATTATAAACAATATAACTAAAATAATATTAATATTTTTGTTTTACTTCAAAAATGTAATAAAAATGTTAAACTTATTCTTATTCCAATGACTAAAAATTTTATTACTAATGCGTAAAGTTAATTATCGACTAGTGCATAAAAACACATTTTTTACACGTTGTTTATTAAAAAATCACTCAATAATCATAATATTACCCAATTTATTATTCCAACAAAAATTATATCATCAATTAAACAAATTTAATAACAAATTATGCAACTTATCGCCTCACAGTAACAAAAAACAGATATAAATAAATATAACCAAATGTTCATTGATATTTTACAACTATATCCAAAGCGTGTCGACGACATGATGCGCTTCGATTCGTCAAACGCACCAGCGTGATGTGCATATGTGAAATATTTATGTATTATTATTGTTGTTATGTTTTTATGCGTGCGGCCATTGCGTAAATTAACATTTTCCGCGAACGGCGTGCGCCTCGCGCGCGCGTTGTGTGTTTTTTTCGTTTGTTTGCATGCTCACGCGGTGCGCGAGCGCCGCATAAACATAAACTACAATGAGACGTAAAAAAATATTAATATTTTTTTAATACGCATCGCTTTTGCTTCGGCTTTGGGCCGCCTGACGGCTTCAAGCTTTAGTTTCCGCTTCACTTTCAGCGTCAACACTCGACGCAGCACATATATTGCCACACATAATATTCTAATAACATTATGAATTTAATAAAAATGTATAAAACGTTCGGCGGCTATGTTATATACATATATAGATGTATTGTTGGTGTGTGTGTGTGTATTATCGTTCACAAGCTTGGTTGAAGCTTTTGTGCATGTGCACGAGTATAGTGTGTGCAGAAAAGTTTCGGTTTCGGCGATATTAAAATAATAATTGTATGAATATTTCATGATCTCATGTTCGCGTTGCGCACACATTGCAAAATGCATCATCGTACGGTGAAAAACGCAAGTTGCATCATTCCACATCCATGAAATTTGTGTAGATTGGACTATGGGTACCGCATTGACAAACAATTTCAAGTCATTTATAAATATTTATTTCCAACTGATTAGTGATCAACCAAAAGCGGAATATGAAAAAATAAGACTTTAATCTACATCAAATTTAAATGATTTTAGTTTTAATTATTTGAGGATAGAATATGTTTGTATTGCAGTATATTTTTGTAGGTGTATAGTTGTGATGAATAAAATATTGCATAAACCTTAATTTCATGAATTTTTATGCGATTTGAGCAAACTAAAACGTCAAATTCTGGAATATATTTAAGCATCACGAGCAAATTCGGATGGAAACGCAATTATATATTTAATTCATATGCGATAGTGAAATATAAAGTTTTTTAACAAAAAATCTTACAATTATCATCTAAATTTTTAATTATTTATATGTTAAAATGATATATTTTCACTTCTGTTTATTTTAAGTGCGAATAATTATTAGATTATTTAATTTTTTAATTAATTACTTAATAACCAAGTAAAATATTGTAATTTTTCTTCAGAAATTTATTTAATTCTAATTTTTTATGATTTTTTTTGTTAAAAAAATCATTTAAAGCATTTTATATGTCGGAATGCAGCCGAAATATTTTTTATCCGCGGTTAAAGAATTTAATAATAAATTTTAAACATTAGTTTGCTTTGCAAAGCTAAAAACACAACAATTCATACATCAGTTTTGTCCGCGTGCGACCAATGAACGTGCAACGTCGTATTCGCTGCCGACCGCACCCGCATAGATACTTGCAATGATTTATTATTAAATAAATAGTGCACAAAACTCGATCGAGCCTATTCTCCGCTCCAGCTCCCGATGGTCGCTGGCGCTGGAACTCATTCAACCGCGCCGCACCTCCATGCTATGTTTTCGGCTATTTTCTATAGTTGCGCGCAACACGCACATGTGCGATGCAATGCGATGGTCATACATTCATTGCGTGATGCATCACGGATAGTTAACGATGCCCCTTCGCGTTTTGGCAGCCAGCGAGGGGCGCGCGCGGATAAAAATATAAAAAATTTGCGCACGTCGCCCGTGACGTACGCATACACACATACACACGTGACATTTATAAATAGCATTGAAAAATGCACGGCCGCACAGAGATGCACATCGGAGAATTTTTTCTATCGCGTAATAATATTTATACATAAATTGTTTCAATGAAAAAAATATTATTTATTGCTGTGTGCCCGGTTTATAGCCGCAGGCATCGCATAAATGCATCAGAATAAAAGAAATGAATAGAATACAGAAAAAAAAGCGATTTAGTTGTAGGGTGTGTTGCCTATACATCGATTCAAGGCTGTTGCATTGTTGATTTTTTTTCCGCGCGCGGTGTTGCCGACGACCTCTATCCGGCATTGAAATTTATTTCGTTTATCAATATTTTACAAATGTACATATATAACATATAAAAATATAACCAAAAAGGACAAATACCTACTGCCTACTCGCATGACACAACTGCGTGGTTTTTTTTTTCGTTTCGGTTCGCGTTTTTTTGGCGTGTTTTCTGTATGAGTGTGCATTTTGCGACGTTATAAGCAGAGCCGCAGTTTTGCGGCAGGTCGTTGGTATTGTCGGTCTGCGTATTATTTTCGCTTTTGTCGGTCGGGCCCGCGTGCACCGTTTTATTTTTTTGCCGCCGCTGGTTAAAAATTATTATCAATAGCCCACAACACCATCGAAGTGCTGCCACCCGCACATTCATGCGCACGATGTGCGTGCACGTGCGTGCGGCAACATGGTATAATAGCCGCACGCGATCATAACCGAAACGATACGGTTACTGCAAACGCTTTTAATAATTAAACAATTTTCGTTTTGGTTTTCGCGTTTTTGGGTCTGGCGCACAGTTTTATATACTGCATGTTACAACCGGGCATTAAAAATCCTTCTAAATTTTAATACAATTTATCTGGGGGGCCTTTAAATGAGGTTAGGTTATTGAAATTGACAAAATATAGTATTTAACGTATATTTAAGACAATATAAATTTGGATTTTAAGAAGAAAATCATTTTTAGAGCCAAATATTAAATTTTTGCGAAGGAATTTATTAACAATTTGTCTGTACAGCCTTGAAAAGAGGTTAGGTTTATGGCAGTTGATAAAGTATAGTATTTAACATATATTAAAAGAAATATAAATTAAGATTTTAAGAAAAATCATTTTACAGCCAAAATTTAATTTTTTCTCAGTATTTTAGTAAAATTTGATCAAAAAAGCTTTGAAAAGGGGTTAGGTTTACGGTAGTTAATAAAATATAGTATTTTACTTACATTTAAGTAACTAAAAATTTAGATTTTAATTAAAAAACTATTTTATAAGTTTTTTTCTAATATTTTTTAATTTTTTTCAGAAATTTTGCAAAAAAATACTTTTTGGTTATGTACACTGGAGCGAAAGAACTTTTCCTCATCCTGTCCATTAAATCTGCTCGCCTAGCGTGTAAAATCACATAGCAAAGGACGAACATGAAAAAGGAAAACTCCGGACAAGCGGATTAAAGACTAACTCTGAAAGCGCCCCGAAGACATCTTTAGACTGTTCCGTCTCGTCAGGAAAAGCTCTCTCAGTGCACACACGGATTGCAAACTGCTTTAACGAACCGTGAATAGCAGCGCTGAGCAAAGAAGCATTGAAAAGCTTTATAAAAGAGTTTCCATTGGAGATCCAACCCTCTTGTTGACCGTGAATGGAGCGAAACGTGCGCTTAATGGATTTTCAAATGAGAATTTAATCTAGGTAATTATCATTTCTCGGATTTTTAGTTTTTTATGTTTATTTAATTATAACCCACGCAATTAAAGCATACATACTTAAGTAACTAGCAATTATCTCGCATACGTAGCAATAATTAAGTCAAAATAAGCTCGTATCATCGATATATCCACACAAACACACAGAAAACCAACCCAACAGATACAAACGACACTGACATGTGGAAGCGTGCGGTATGGAGGGATGGTCTATGCGGTTCGAATCTAATTGCATCAATGATTTGATTAATAGACACGAGAGCAGCAGCATATTTAATTACCCGTTCATATTAACAATTGAATATAATTATATTTCCTCACAATAAATAAATATTAAACAACTTTAAATATACCTAATACGTAAGTAAATAAATAACACCGGTGAATAAAATTTCTCTTCAGATAAGCTGATATAAAGCCAGGAAATAAAAGTGCGTGTGATGTTGGTTGCCTACCAAAGCAAATCTTCATTTAATTTACGCGTAGGTTATTTTTATTAAAGAATGGTGAAATTTTTCGCTGACACGATGAACAAAAAAAATTTTATTAAATACGCAAAAACGACGCGCGACGAACACGCATGCCGAGTGTGTGTGCTTCGCCATCTTATTGATTTAAACTCGAGCGCGGCGCGCGGCACCCCATTTTCTCTGGCGGCGCGCGGGCATGGAAATCTTCTCATCCCTTAGACCCGCGCAACTTTGCTTTCGTGCCGACCGCCCGGCCCACCCACTGCGGTTGTGCGGCCATGGGGACTAGGGAGAGATTTTGAGAACCCCTAAGTCCGCGCCCGCACCCACACGTGGAGTGTGCACACACCCTAAATTCAGAAGCAGCAAAAGGAGGGCTTGGAGGAGTTGGCGAGCGGTGTGAGGAGCTGTGTATCTTTTGTACCCTTACACACGCACCCACACATAGAGAAGCAGAGGAAATTTACATGCACGCATGTGCTTGTGGGTGGAAGGGTTGTGTGAGGGGCAAATAACCGCCATGGCGCGCACGGAAACTTTGAGTTTTCGGTGCGAGATGGTGTGAGACGCTCAGCGGGGCGGACGAGTGCGCTGGTGCCCAAAGGGGTCTTGATGGATGACCTCCGGGTCCCCTTTGCGTTCCTCACGCTGGTGTGTAGGGGTTTGTGTGTGTGTTTGCCGCGTTGTGCTGTTAAAGGCGGCCATGTTCCCTTTTCGCCCTCGTCGTACTCATACTCTTTGCGCGCCTGGACTTGCTTTCAGAGATAGGAGGAATATTTTGTGCGAATGCTGGCGTTCATTACGCTCAAACTTTACTTATCGCATTTAAGGTATTGCTCCGTTGAGAAATGACCCGCCATTCTGTAAATTAACGTCCGGCGCACTTCCTTGCTTTTACTGACAACGCTAAAAAAGTTGCCTACAAACACTAACTTAGTATATTTCATTAAAAAAATAGAAAAACAGCGTTTTTTGGCATTTAAAATTGGTTTTTGGTGAATTTCTTTTAAAAAACGTGATAAACAATGTTTTAATATAAAGTTTTTGAAGTTTTTGATAATATAAAACTCCTAAATTTGCAAATTTCTATTTAGGTAATAAAATTAAAGAAAAAAATAATTTTTTGATGAATTTCTTGTTTTTTTCTGCTTAAAATCAAATTTTTTCGACTGAAAATTTTAATTTTTTCGGTTTTATTGAGTTTTTCAACAAAAAAACTTTATTTTTATCCAAAAGACCTTAGATTTTCACAAAAATACCATCTTGATATTTCCACCTGTCAGATTTCAACTCTCCAAACTTTCTAATTATAAATTTGAATTAGTTTCCAGGCGCATTACGCCAACAAAAGGCTCTTGCGCAATATTTGCAATAACAAATACGCGCAACTCGTATTTTCGCGTACGAATCGCGTTAATCGAATGACCAACACATCGCGCGCTCAGCTGCTTGTTGCTGCTTGCGTCCAGATCATATACAATATAAAGCGTGCTGTAATTAACACACTTATAATTACCGCGGGCGACTACAAGCTGAACACATGTGTGGGTAACGGAGTTTTTGCATTGCTCAATGACTACATATTTAAATATGTTCGGATGCATGTATATGCGCTAATCGGTTTTTCGACTCACCAGCGAAACACATTGTATACGTGTGTGTGTGTACCATCGACCACCACTTGAAATGTTATTAAAACTATTAAAACTGAACAACTTATAGAGCAGCAACCAAAACATAATTAATTTAATTTGTGTACGTTACATTAGTTTGATTAGTTTTATTTTTTTGGAGAAAAATTTTTGACAGGTGAATATTTTATGTAAAATGTATGTTTGGTTGCCTATATTTTCAAAAATCTAAAAAAAATTATTTTTCGATATTTTATTCATCCAAGCTCATTCCCAGCCAAATTATGCATGTAGAAGGAAAATCGAGCAAAACGTAATTATTATTATGAAGTCGGCAGCGCGTTCAACGTGTGTGTGTGTTCGGCTCAGCAGGTGTCCACACGAGCGGCGAGCATATTTAATTAACTGAATATCATATTAAATTTATAAAGCCGCGCTTATTTATTTATTTATCTTTGTGAGTACGCCCGCCTACACACATGTGTATGAGAGCGGTGTCTTCTTTAACGTCTATTTACGCTTAGGAAGCACGTTAACGCCCGCCATGTCTACATTGTGCACGTACACAAATTTCCACATATTATATTAAATATCTGGCGCGCGGCGTTGTTTGTGTTTTTGGCACGAATATTCAGTTTGCAGGCGTATCTATATCCGGGGATATAAATGTTGATAGAAGGCAATGTCAAAGGCAAAGAGCGGAGATGCGAGTGGGTTGTTTTTGTTGATGTTTGCATGCTATATTATTACATATTTTGTACGATTTGTATGTGTTTATGCAAAATGTAATATTAATTCATTGAAATTTCCGAAATTAACTTCTGACAAACGCTTTACTTCAATTTCACCACAGATATAGCTATATTGTACTAGTTGTCCTGGCGAAATTTGTTTGCAGTCGTTAATAAATGTCATCTTTAATTAATTATTGACTTAAATCTGTTTAATTTTGAAATTTAAAGAAAATAAATTGATTTTAAGTAATTTTAGAAGAATTGCATTGAAATTTATGTAATTTGACAGCTGTCAAACGAAGAAAACCATGTCAGACAACATAACCTTAAAAATAATTGATTATTGAACGTTTTTCTGGTTTTTTTTTTGATATTTTAGCAATTATTCTGCAGTTCAGGGTAAAGAAAAAACAAAAAAATAAAAAATTATTCAATATTAAAAGATTTTGAGGTCATTTTTACTTAAAAATCTCAAAAATAAAAAAAAATATTTTAGAAAGTGTTTGTACTGACATGGTTGTCATTAACAAGTAGGTAGGCAACTTCTTTTTCACACTTTCCTTTTTCTTTGCACAAATAAAAAATTAAAAACATTTTAGTTGACGGATTCTAATATCAAACAAATTCGTGATGATAGAAACGCGCTGTTCATTGCAAAACCCGCCTCGACGCTCATCACACGCAGACCGTGGCCAAATTAATTTGTCGGAATTGAAAACGCGTGCTCCGTTTTAATATTGCTGGATAAGCAACGTATAAATATGCATTACAAATATCCGCACGCCGTCTACATTAATATTATCCACCATGCGTATAATACTCGTTTCTATGCTTCTGGGTACTTACAAACATACACATAAATTAGCGCCAGTCACGAGCGCAGAAAAGCGCTTTTCCAGCTGCATTCAAACTGCGATGAGTAAAATATATACTTAATTGCACAAAGGTATACGCGCGGCCGTTAGAACAATATCAAATTTTATTAACCCACACACAACGGTTACATTTTGTTATTCCTCGAATCGCACATAAAGCATTAGCGGTAGTTCCTGCTATAGTTGCCAACTATACAGAGATACAGATATGGATAGTCTGCACACCTCTCTTTGGATTGCGCTTGTAGTGTGGGGCGCGGGGGGCGGCGGCGGCGGCGCGGCAACACGGGCAAATAAAGGCGAAATTAATTAGCACGTGCGTGTTTACGTCCGAGAGGAGCTTTATGTTTATGCGTTTTCGTTACGTTTCGTTTGCGCGTTTTCCGCTCCGCGTGGGATTCGCGTTTTCAACATCCTTTTGTCTGTTATTAACGACGCTTCGTACCAGCATCATCTGCAATTTCAGTGGAACGAACACACGAAACGCACTACTAATTGTGCATGTATTCATACTTCTTTTTGTATCATTTTTAAATCATTTAAATCATTTTTTTAATTAATTCTATCTATAACATAACTTAATCCGTAAAAATTAGGTTATCAAGTATACTTAACCTCTAAAGAAACAAAATTGACAGTTAGAAGTTGATTTACACGCAAATCAGTCTTTGTTTATTTTTTTTTTAATTTTTAATTAATGTCAAATGAGGTTATGTAATGTGCTAGCCTGACAGTTATGTATTTCTAGGTTATGTCTTGCTATGGCGATATAATATTGCTATACAATTATTTTGAGCAGCTGTTGGCAACAAATCAATTTTTAAATGACTTTTCTTTATGCGTCCGCTTGATAGCAAAACGCAATTGGCAATTGCGCACGATTCCCGTCTCGGATTTTATTCTCGTCGTTTCCGCACGAACGGGGGAGGTGATAAAGGTGAAATAGGTGAATAATGTCGGCCCTCCGTTCGTGCCATTTTACCATTGTACGTCTACACAGTATACACGCAAATATACAATGTGTTCATGCAATATTTAATAGTAAAAAATTTAAAAACCATAAATTCATCACGAAACTAAAGAAAAATCATTATTTAAGTGACTTATTCATCAAATTTCTTCTGTATATTGGTAGATATTTTGAAAAATTGTTTGTAAATACGTTTGGTAAACTCGCAGATATAAAAAAAGGTCGAAAAACTGAACGATCGACGTCGAAGGCACCCGCTGAAGCCGCACATACGCATATTGTTCACATATACACCCACATATTCAC